ACATTCAAGATATTTTGGCTTATTTAGAGAATAAGTCAGGTCTGAATAATTAATTAAATTAAGCAGTTAATTGCTTTCCCAATGTCTTTGTTGCAAAAACTCAACTCTAGGACAAGCTGCAATTACAATAATTATCTCAGAATATCCACACAATTTAGTTCAAATTAGTTAATAATTGATTTTATAATTTATTTTTGATCATGTTAATAAAAACAGAGAACTACACCTCTTGGAAAAGTTTACATTTTACAATAGGAACATATTTCTACAATTTCTACAAAAATACAAACAGATGTAAGTAAAGGTTTGGTGAAGAATACTTATGAAAAGCTGGAGCTTATTTAGACTTATCCCAAAACTGGCATTGTCATCTATGAGATATTGATTATTGCACAAGAGTAGTTTATACTGTTGTCAAAGAAATCAGGGTTCAAGACCTTTTTGAGGAGAAATAAGGTTTGCAATTTTTTGCATCAAACAAGGAAAGGCACAAAATCAAACTACAGGAGAATCTAGTTTTCAAAAATTAATACAGAAAATCATTATTAGACAATCAGGAAAAGATATCATATTTTAGGATGAGACAAGCTAAAAATATTCTGCATAAAAAGAAAAAGACAAGCAACTTGAAGATGCTTTTAAAGAGGCTTTAAAATTTGGACCATCCTTTACTAAAGCAGAAGTGTTCTCCCATTTAATCATCTCAACCAGCAGATTATTGCTCCCTATTGTAGAAAAACATCTTTTTTACTAAGAGTTTTCAAATGGATTTGTGGACAGTGAACACTTATTAGCAAAAAAAAAAAAAAAAAATAAGACTGTGCTGAGCGTGGAATGATCCTATTATGAAAGAAACTTTAAAACCAGAGGCTGAGAGATGAGGACACTTCTAATGCACAAACTCTCACAGACAGATCTTGCGTAGTCAGCAGCCAGACCGCTTAAGAAGTTGCATGTTTGAGATAAAAAACATAAGAAAATACTCTTCTTTACTAAGTTTTGTACTTATTGTTTGAACCCTTCAATAGTAAAAATAAAAACATCTACTAAAATCAGCAAGATCATCAAAAAGTTTTTAATCTGTTCACCCGCATGTGTAGCAAATATGCTAAACTAAAGAGATCATTTTTTCAAATATCTGAGCCACTTAAATAGCAGCTTATAAATCAGCATTTCAAAATCCCCTCCATCCACATGTGGCAGTAGTCAAAATGTTCTACGCCGATAGGAAGGGATGTTCAATGCATCAGCAATAATATTAATAATTCGACTGTTAAAACTAGGCAGATATCACAGGCAGTTTACTGTATAACGTCGGTTTTAACCTCAAATTGACATAAGTTGACATGAGAGCACAGAAACATCAACACACATGAGTAGGAGAGAATCGCAAGACACAATAAGCACAGAAGGAGCATGCACTCACGCTTTTGTTAAATCTGACACCTAATGGTATTAGATCTGCACTCATTCCTTGGTCAAAAAATGCTTTAAATAAAACTCATGGTATCTGACATCCTCATTTTGGAGTGTTACATTGAGAGAGAAAATCAACGTCAGAGGTGTGGTTGTTCTTTTAACGGTAAAGTAGAAAAAAGATAAAATATTGATTTGGGGCATAAAAACATTATACATTTTAAAATATCAGCCCTAATTGTCATATATATATATATATATATATATATATATATATATATATATATGCTCACCGGCCACTTTATTAGGTACACCTGTCCAACTGCTCGTTAACACTTAATTTCTAAGCAGCCAATCACATGGCGGCAACTCAGTGCATTTAGGCATGTAGACATGGTCAAGACAATCTCCTGCAGTTCAAACCGAGCATCAGTATGGGGAAGAAAGGTGATTTGAATGACTTTGAACGTGGCATGATTGTTGGTGCCAGAAGGGCTGGTCTGAGTATTTCAGAAACTGCTGATCTACTGGGATTTTCACGCACAACCATCTCTAGGGTTTACAGAGAATGGTCCGAAAAAGAAAAAACATCCAGTGAGCGGCAGTTCTGTGGGCGGAAATGCCTTGTTGATGCCAGAGGTCAGAGGAGAATGGCCAGACTGGTTCGAGCTGATAGAAGGGCAACAGTGACTCAAATAACCACCAGTTACAACCAAGGTGGGCAGAAGAGCATCTCTGAACGCACAGTACGTCGAACTTTGAGGCAGATGGGCTACAGCAGCAGAAGACCACACCGGGTGCCACTCCTTTTAGCTAAGAACAGGAAACTGAGGCTACAATTTGCACAAGCTCATCGAAATCGGACAATAGAAGATTGGAAAAACGTTGCCTGGTCTGATGAGTCTCGATTTCTGCTGCGACATTCGGATGGTAGGGTCAGAATTTGGATCCATCCTGCCTTGTATCAACGGTTCAGGCTGGTGGTGGTGGTGTCATGGTGTGGGGAATATTTTCTTGGCACTCTTTGGGCCCCTTGGTACCAATTGAGCATTGTTGCAACGCCACAGCCTACCTGAGTATTGTTGCTGACCATGAACATCCCTTTATGACCACAATGTACCCAACTTCTGATGGCTACTTTCAGCAGGATAATGCGCCATGTCATAAAGCTGGAATCATCTCAGACTGGTTTCTTGAACATGACAATGAGTTCACTGTACTCAAATGGCCTCCACAGTCACCAGATCTCAATCCAATAGAGCATCTTTGGGATGTGGTGGAACGGGAGATTTGCATCATGGATGTGCAGCCGACAAATCTGCGGCAACTTGGTGATGCCATCATGTCAATATGGACCAAACTCCCTGAGGAATGCTTCCAGCACCTTGTTGAATCTATGCTACAAAGAATTGAGGCAGTTCTGAAGGCAAAAGGGGGTCCAACCCGTTACTAGCATGGGGTGCCTAATAAAGTGGCCGGTGAGTGTATATATATATATATATATATATACACTATATTGCCAAAAGTATTTGCTCACCTGCCTTGACTCACATATGAGCTTAAGTGACATCCCGTTCCTAATCCATAGGGTTCAATATGACGTCGGTCCACCCTTTGCAGCTAGAACAGCTTCAACTCTTCTGGGAAGGCTGTCCACAAGGTTTAGGAGTGTGTTTATGGGAATTTTTGACCATTCTTCCAGAAGCGCATTTGTGAGGTTGCACACTGATGTTGGACGAGAAGGCCTGGCTCTCAGTCTCCGCTCTAATTCATCCCAAAGGTGTTCTATCGGGTTGAGGTCAGGACTCTGTGCAGGCCAGTCAAGTTCATCCACACCAGACTCTGTCATCCATGTCTTTATGGACCTTGCTTTGTGCACTGGTGCACAGTCATGTTGGAAGAGGAAGGGGCCAGCTCCAAACTGTTCCCACAAAGTTGGGAGCATGGAATTGTCCAAAATGTCTTGGGATGCTGAAGCATTCAGAGTTCCTTTCACTGGAACTAAGGGGCCAAGCCCAGCTCCTGAAAAACAACCCCACACCATAATCCCCCCTCCAACAAACTTTACACTTGGCACAATGCAGTCAGACAAGTACCGTTCTCCTAGCAACCGCCAAACCCAGACCCGTCCATCAGATTGCCAGATGGAGAAGCGCGATTCGTCACTCCAGAGAACGCGTCTCCACTGCTCTAGAGTCCAGTGGCGGCGTGCTTTACACCACCGCATCCGACGCTTTGCATTGCACTTGGTGATGTATGGCTTGGATGCAGCTGCTCGACCATGGAAGCCACATGAAGTTTGGAGGTCTGTAGTGATTGACTCTGCAGAAAGTTGGCGACCTCTTCGCACTATGCGCGTCAGCATCCGCTGACCCCGCTCCGTCAGTTTACGTGGCCTACCACTTCGTGGCTGAGTTGCTGTCGTTCCCAAACACTTCCATTTTCTTATAATACAGCTGACAGTTGACTGTGGAATATTTAGGAGCGAGGAAATTTCACGACTGGATTTGTTGCACAGGTGGCATCCTATCACAGTTCCACGCTGGAATTCACTGAGCTCCTGAGAGCGACCCATTCTTTCACAAATGTTTGTAAAAACAGTCTGCATGCCTAGGTGCTTGAATTTATACACCTGTGGCCATGGAAGTGATTGGAACACCTGATTCCAATAATTTGGATGGGTGAGCAAATACTTTTGGCAATATAGTGTATATATATATACACACGTTTGTTTGTTTTTTAATGGCATATCTGATGGTGTCCTTCACTGTAAATATTGTTTTTCATTGCTGTATATCTGCAGTCCTCTGAGACCAACTCAAGTAAAATACAAACCCATTTTGAGTGGAAAATTAAGTATTTTATCTGCATCCATTTACTGGTTAAGGTTGTTTGCAGAGAAGGAGAACTGTAACCTGTGTGCATCCCAGTTTAAATGCTGCTTTGGAGCTGAAGCAGAAAATACTCCTTCAGAATGCTGTCAGAAATGTGGTTATCTGTATAGAGTTACTGGGGGACAAGTGTTGCCAGAAAATGGTTTTAAATTCCTTGGTAAGGTGCCGTACTGTTAGATCTCCAAAGCATGGATTACAGTCAACATTTGAACAGATCTGACACTAAAACCCTTATATTATGGACAAATTCTTAATCTATTGACTGTCTGTGATCACATATTTCTTTATGTGTGTCCACTGCGTTATTGTACATGTTGGTACCTGAGTTTGGTGCTTTACAATTAATGCCATCAATTTTCTTCATCCTTTGGATGCACTTTCCTTAAAACTATTTGTGAGAATTGAACCTACAGAAAAAAGTGTTTGAGGTCGTACGCCAGGCTCAAGCAAAGATGATAAGAAGAAAAAAAAAATCCTTTCATACTCTTTATGATTAAGGCTTTTAGAGTAAATGTGAGTTGTACAGAATAGTCTAATATTACACTGTTTACCAATACAAGCTATTGTCTTCTAATTATCAGATGATAAAGCCCTCTGAGGTGGAAGATTTGATTAGAAACATTTCTGCAAGGCACCAGCGTGAACATCACGGCTCAAGCAAAAAAAAAGAAAATAATTACTGATACTCACATTTTGCAGGGAGATCATAGCCACAGGTGATCTTGGCTTTGCCGGTGTCACAGCCGTTTAGTGAGTGACACTCATCATACAGACAGGACCCTGCCGCTTTGTGTATGCAGCCGTCAACTGAAACACACACAAAACCAGAGTAAGGTTTAACGGAGCAAAAAACACAAGAATACGCAGCTTCATATATCTCAGACATGCTGTGATAAAAAGGTGTACATGCTTCGTCATTTAAGAACAAAGATAACTGAAAGCTAAAAAAAAAAAACTCCAAGGCTGAAATCTAGTAAATATATCTGGAAATGTTACAATTATATCAGGTTTTCCTTCCTGTGGGGATACTGGCTCTACTATGGTGAGCTGCGCCTGTTGCTGGTAAATATTGACAACCTTCGAAATTAAATTAGATGGACCAAGATCTAATAACCCCTCAGCGTAGGGTGAAAATGAGACCGTTCTTCCTGCAATCTCTCTCCTCTGTCAACAGCAATATAGCATTAGATCATTAACTGTATTTTCTGCCTTGATCTTTGCTGTGAGCCTTGCATGATTTGGATCTATGTTCTGGATCTGTCATGCCTGGTGTTGATGTGTGTCCTGGTTCTTTGGAGACCTCAGGCACCCAACCCCCCTTAAAGGTTTTAATTTTATCAGGTTAAGGACACGATACACTTGATTGATGGCTCATCTTACACAAGAAGGCAGAGCGATAGAAATCCACATTATCTGTCTCTGAGAGCCTGACATCCCTCCAAGAGCATGTTATCAATCACACTGAAATATCATATAATCCTCCTCAAGTTGTCCTGTAGAAATCCTCAAGAGCTATTAGGAGATAACAAGGCCAGGAAGAGGAAGAAGAAAACAAGTACAGATTTCTTGTTGCTTCTCATTCGGATTTGACCACTAGCGGGATCAAATGTTCCGGATTTCCCCCGACCAAAGCTAAAACAGTTCAGCTGTAAGCGAATGCAGAATTGTTCTATTAAAAAAGTTGACTCTAATAAGTATCTTCATATGTAACACAATAATCCTTTATGTAAACATCCAGGGAAGAAAACAGAGAAAAGCTAGATAAAATCCGGAGACATTTTAGTTTACATTATGAAGACAGACAAAAGCTCTTTTTCATGAGGGATGGTCCACTTCAGAGCTCCTTTCAACTTCTCTGGGATGAGTCAACGACAACAGCTGGGCGGAACATTTTCTACTTCTATCAATCAACTTTAATGGACTGAGGGACAGGCAACTGACAGAGACAAATCCTGATGGCTTTACAAAGAAGTAACATGACTCTGACAGCGATGTGGATATGCAACGAGATCGCTGCAATGACAATGAAAGCTGCTTAGCACAACACAGAGACGGATGCAAAGCAGGCTGAAGGCTTGGCATTTTTATAATGTATAACTCTGCAAGCAAGATTGTCCATGAGGATCGAGCAGTTATTTGCATCAGAAATGGTTACTTACATTTCTCAAACACAAACTGATAAAAACAAAAAGAGAATCTTAAGACTGAAAACTCCACAGACTTTTGAATTTTGGTCTTTTGAAAGGTTACCCTTGCTGCTAAAAAATGTTGTGCACACAAACACTAATCGTATTCAATGATTTAGAATATATTTTCTGCTAATGCTTGTTTCTCAGATTTAAACTTCATTTTAAAAAAATTCTACTTTTAAGCCGGTGTTAAACAAACATATATTAAAGAACTTTTTGTGCAGTTTTAATGTTTTTTTTTTATTGGTTTGGTGCAATATTCCAATTTTAACGTTTTTTATTAGCTAAAACTGAAAGAGACCTATAACTGATATAAAGACTTCTGAAAAATGGGTTATTTCAAATTTCTAAATAAAAAAGTTACATTTCTTATACGGATTTATTTCACACAGTGATCCATTTTAAGCTTTTGTTTCGACTTTGATGATTATAGCTTTAATCTTATCTATTCCATTTTATTTATAAAGCACATTTAACAAAAAACATTATTCCAATGTGCTGTACATAAAAACAAACAAAAATCCCAACACACACAAGAAAGCAGAAATAGTTTAGAATGCGTAAATAAATAAAATGATACAGAGGACCACACAATCTTGCAGTGTTAAAGGCCAAACAGTAAAAGTGTTTAATGCGAGACTAAAACACTCCACTGTGGAGTAACCTAAAGGGAAAACCTAAAATCCAGTATCTCATATAATTGCAAACTTCTACTGTATCAGATATTTTTGATATAGAAATGTATGTCAAAGTAATATACAATATTTATGCTTAGTTCATTGCAGAGGCTCATCACTGCCTCAATGCAGTAAGGCATGCTCCCAACTTAGACTTAGATTTTATTTGTTATTTTGTTTACACAAGTGTGAAACAAAAAGAAATTTCGTTTGGAAAAGCTCTCTGGACAATTTAATCTTTTTTAAAAGTGCAGCCTTGAAAAATAGTCAAAAGACTGTAAATTTACAGTTCTAACTTTTTATATACATATATATAATGATAAAACATAATAAAATACAATATAATACAATAACCCATTCTACAAAACATTCAGCAGTCTAATGGCAGTGGGGAAGAAACTGTAGTGGAATCAGCAGGACCTGCATCCAATGATTCGAAGTCTCTTCCCCGAAGGCAGCAGGGAGAACAGTCCATGGTGGGGGTGTGAGGGGTCATTTATTTTATTTTCCCAACCAGCCTGTGGCTCTGCTGAGATGTCCAGATAGCAACAATCAGCCCCTCTGCATATTTAGCTCATATCTTTCTGTTGACATACCCCACATATTCGCTACACTTGCATAATTACATGTCTGTTACAACTTCTCCTTACGCTCAGCTTTTCACCAATGTGTCTGGAGACAGCACTCTTAAGAGCAGGCTTCTCCAGCACTGACCTTTGTACTGTACCTCATCCTCCTTATAGAAGTCGCCAATGACTTGTCTGCTGCCCAACCTTCGAATAAGTAGTCTTTCTTAAGATGTAGGTTGTGAAATTTTGACATCCTATTGGCAGATATAGACAGTTAAGGATAATTTCAAATGGTGCTTAAAAAAGAGGTTATCATTTTTGTTACGTCCACCAGGCTTGCTTGGTGGGGTAACATTAAAGGCAACCACATGTGATTTTCTTATAGATGACAACTGAATTTATTAAATTATATTAAAGAAATAAAACCTGGAAAGAGAATATCTGAAGTAAGAAACCAAAATAGAATAATGCAAAAACCATAGCTAACCAGAATTAAGAAAATGCAAAACAAACCTAACAAACTCCAACCATAATACCAACCAAACCAAACGGGGTTCTGAGGAGGGAGAGGAAAAAGCTTTTGCTGAATACTGTACATAGCAGCTTTAAAGCAGCAGAGCACCAATCAGAGCAAAACATAACACCTGCAGAGTCTCCCGAACCCTACAAGGAAAAAAGGCAGAGACCCACTGCACACTTTTAAAATACCACCAGTAAAATTACAAAAAGTTTTTTTTTTCTGTGATGTTTGGGGTTTATTTTTGCAAGTCTCTTACATTCACAATAATTCTAAATTAGTTATCTTTGTTTTTTACGGATAAGTAAATTTTTTCTAAGTTAGAAGTAACTCCTAAGGTTGTCAGTTTAATTGGGAAAGCTAAGTTTTGCAAAAATCCAACATGTCTGCCATGCATATAGTAAAGGTATAAAAAGTTTATTGTATAGTTTCTTAGTATTGGCTATGTTTTAGCTCCTCTAAAAGTTTGTATCTCATTAAATCAATGTCAAACCTTAATGCTCACACATATTTTCTTGCAAACACACCTTTAGTGTTTAATGCATAAAACGGAAAAAAAGACACATTATCATCCTGCATATTTAACAGCAGTTTCTACCACAACAATTAGCAAATCCTTCTGTTGTTGCAGAAAGGGAGAAGGTCACAAGTACCCGGTACAAACCCTACAATATCCACTCTGGGTACCTGAGCAAAATCCTTAACCCCACACTGCTCCCCAGGTCCCACACAATGGCAGCCCGCTGCCCCCCAAAAGAGATGTGTTTTTTTCAATGGAAAGCAATTATTACTGGCTTAGATTTAAAGTATCATATGTGTACTAATAAATAAGTTCAACCTACTGATGGAGACCCATTGGTAATAGATGTCAGCACCTAAACCAAATGTATAATATACGGAATACTACATTTTGCAGACAGTGTTGGAAGCACAAAGAATAAAAAAGAAATGTGAAGAGAGAATCTCCAGACCTTTCTAATGATAAACAAAGAGAGGGAATAATACATTATACTGTCTTTAGTTCATTGCATTAACAGTATCTCACACTCCCATTCATTATTTGAAAGCACGGTTGATGTCATGTCTATAACAACCTTAGATATCCTACCAAAAAAACTTAGTAGTTAGTTTCATCTCAGTTCTTAAAGAAATAGATTTCAGATAATAATGTTGAGCTTTCATTTCAAATCTCCTCCTGTCCACCGTGGTTGCATAAGCTAATCTTTCTGATACTATTCAGTGTGTCACTGCTGTCTTGTCGCAGTGAGCCCCTAAAAGCCTGCAAATTTGTTCACAATGCCTGGAAACAGAGAAAGATGCTGAACTGATCTGGCTGCTAGCCAGAATCTCTGAAGGTAGAGCTACAGATTTAATTTACCTGCTTTACTGCTGGAATAAAACAGATGCATTTTGGGTAATAGGTGTGTTTATCATCTGTATGTCTGAGGTAGACATAAAGCAAGAAGCACGGAATAAGAGGCAGAGACAGGTTTCAGAATGCACTTTGTAATTTGGAATTCAATTTCTAGAGAACACTCTGCAAGAAGCAATCCAAACTTGATTGTGAATGCATTTTTTGTTACTTAGGTAACTAAAAGCAGATCTGAGTTCCCATAAGTGGAGATATGACCCACATGCAATTTGACCATCAATTTATTTTCTCATTTAAGTTGGATCTCAGAGATATTCCCTGCAGATTTCTACATTAGATGCCTGAAACATTACAAAGGCAGCCTTAGATTCTCATTGGCTTAAATTCACATTTGCTGCAGACAAATGAACAACCCCTTCCCAAAAGTGTCATACTTCGGGGAAAAAAAAGATGAACATTTGGGCAAACTTTGGAAACGCCTAA